TTTTTATGAATAACATCTATTTTAACTTCACATAAGGAAAATTGCAAATATATAAATGTCAGCTTTTCAGCTGGTAACTAAGCAAGGCAGTTTGAGTATTAAGATGCAAAGAGCATAATGTAATACCGCTCAATTCATTGGGATTTCTATGCAATATTTTTCGATTGGTGAGACTCTTGACCTCGCAACAATTATATGATGAGGCCCTCCCAAAGGAATAGTAAATGTTTGATTTTAATCACCTCATGTAAACTTCCAAACTCCAATAAAGCATGCAGAATCAAGCCACCAGTCAATTAATTAATTACAACCTGCTTATGCTAGGAAGAACTAAAAATGTTTTTGCTCTTTGGTTAAAAAAAAAATTTAGTAATTGATGATTAAGAGTACGGCTGACTTTATACCCCTCAAATATATTTATATTTTTATTCCATTTGTTGTATAATAATAATTGTTTTTTGATTTTTACTTTAAAATAAGAATTTGAAATAATTTCTTTTACTTCTATTATTCTTAATAAATAAATAAATAAAATTTAATGACAGGGTGAATAATTAAAATTAAGCAATGACAATAGAGTTAAAATAAGAAAAAAAATATTAGTCCCTCAATATGAAAAAAGAATTAACTTGACAAATTTGAAGTGAGAAAATAAGGTGATATTGTAGGGTGGATATTGGCCTCATAAATATACAATCACTGTAAAAACATGTCAACATAGAATTTTAATTAGCCACATTGAAGATCCCAATAAATAATAAGTCATAAAAATCAAAGATCTTCAAAATATAGAGATATATATGTCATATGGGCAACTTTCAAACAAAATTGCCAGTATGAGATAGGTTTCATATATACCCGGGAACAATAGGGTGACGGGAGAAGCCCCATTCATTTTTGGCAAAATGCAAGTCAGAATGACATACTCCGCAGTAAAGAATTTTCACGGTGACATCTTCATCTCCATTTTCCCTGCCAATAATTCAGGCAAACCATTGACATTAAATAAAACAAGTATCCTAATTCCGCATGCTGTAGCCGTGTAGCGTAACAAGCACGATATATGAGATCATGAAAGTTATCATCTTTCTCATGTGAGTGCAGAAACATGCATACATCACTTATAAATTAAAAAAGAAGAGGATGGATGGGTCAAGTGCTCACCTTCTGGAGAAATGGAAAG